TTCTCACGTTTTAGGAGGGATGTCTCCAGCAGCTCCTGGGATTCTCTATCTGCGAGTGCATCGATGTGTTAGAGATGCTTTGTTCTTGGTGGAGGAGATTGTCTCTCTTTTAATGCTCTCTGTCAAAGACATTGCAGTTACTGGGCTACCAAAGGAGAAGGCTGAAAAACTAAAGAAGTCCAAGCATGGAATGAGATGTGAACAGGTTTCTTTTGCTTCTGCAATGGCACGCGTTAAACTTGCAGCTTCCCTTGGAGCTTCATTAGTTTGGATATCCGGTGGATCAGGTTTGGTCCAATCTTTGTATAAAGAAACCTTGCCGTCTTGGTTTTTATCGGTCCATTCAGTAGACCGTGAAGGTGTAGAATATGGAGGTATGGTTCCTGTGCTTAGGGGCTATGCACTTGCATTCTTTTCAGTACTTTGTGGAACGTTCTCGTGGGGCATAGACTCGATATCATCAGCGTCAAAGAGGCGTGCAAAGCTTCTCGACTCCCACCTCGAATTTCTTGCGAGTGCATTGGATGGAAAATTCTCCATTGGGTGTGATTGGGCTACATGGCGGGCTTATGTCTCTGGGTTCGTGAGCTTGCTGGTGCGTTGTGCACCGAAGTGGTTGCTCGAGGTGGATTTGAAGGTGTTGAAGAGGTTGGGCAAAGGATTAAGGCAGTTGAACGAGGAGGAATTGGCTCTTGCATTGCTGGAAAGTGGTGGGTTGACTGCAATGGGTGCAGCAGCGGAACTTATTATTGGAGGAGGATTTTAAATGTTGCAGATTTAACATGAAAAGTGAACCATTTTTGTTTAGAAAAACTGGAACCATCAACTGACGTAGGTTTCCCTTAGCATCATATCCCCAGTAATGCAACGTTCATGTACACAAATGGTTCTTACTGCTGCTCTGCATAGGCATATTAGCCGCCGTTTTTTTTTGGCTAAAAATCTGAAGTAATGATATTCAAAATTTTAGCATGTAATTCCTGTACCATTAAATTTGTAAAAAATATGCAACAATTTAGTCTTCATCCTATTAAACTCAATTTCGTTTATATCCTATTAAATTTGTACATTTCAGTTTAGCAGTTTTGACCTCGAATAGATCAAGAATGTTTAAAACATTATACATTTTGTACATTTCAGTTTAGCAGTTTTGACCTCGAATAGATCAAGAATGTTTAAAACATTATACGTTGATTAGACATTTAAGAACTCAAAAAGTTCAAAAAACTTAATAGAAGAAATTAGATTTAATCATATAAAATAGAAAGTTTGACCATTGAATTGTACACATAAGGTTGAGGTGTCAAGGACCATCCTAAAGGTTGAGGTGTCAAGGACCATCCTATCTTGTGGAGTATTCAAATCTTGTCCCAAAATGTTTGTTGTTCATCTCAAATAATTTACACTACTAGCAATACCCTCCTAAAAAAAAACACTTTCTTTTGGGTGTTACTTATTATTGGGTGTTACTTATTAAAAGAATCAAGTTCATATTCATCAAGTTTCACTACAATATTCGACTATAAAAGCGTGAAATGATCACTAAAAAAGTTGAGGTTTTCGTCGAGGTTTCTTGTGTTCAAGGTGTTGGAATATCTAAAGTTTAAAGTTTTAGATCTCTATAGATAGGTCTAGGTGAGAACAATGTAAAAGAACACTAAGGCATCATTGTCCCTCTTGATGGCCTTTTGTGGGTTTGATATCCATTTCCTTCGGAGTTGAAAGGTCTTTATAATGCTTGAAATGGTGGATATGGACTCTTGGTCTCAAAGAAGAGTATCTTTGTGGGTTTTCTTGTGGAAGCATGGTGGACACATGGAGAAGGAAAACAAGAACACAGGGAAAAAGGCCTTCAAAAACCAAATCCTCAAGATCATACAACCATAATCAACTTATACAAGGGACCAAATACAAATTTATTACTAACTCAAATGTACAATACTTCTAATTATGAAAAGCCACATAATCAGCAGACTTCAACAATTAAGATCTAATCTTTTTAGACTAGCTTTTATGCTTTTAACAGTCCAAATTCAAAATTACAGTTCTTGCCAAACATTGAAATCACAAAATTGCAGTTCTCCAAACTCAACTACGTGCCTTTGTTATCCATGCAAATATTAAAATCACAAAAGAATTCTTGCTCAAACATTAAAATCATAAACGTCACGCAGTTCAAACTGTACACGCACTTTAGACTGACAATTGGTATCTATGTATATCATTCTTTCAATGTTCAGATAACACAAGCACGCATTAGATAAATAACCCATGTTCATCAATACTCATCACAATGGCCTATTATGAGAATTATCCAAGAAGAATTAAACTACCGTTCCATATATAAAGGATTAAGCAAAATGTAAAGCTAAATATCATGATTCATGGCATTAGAACTTTACTTTTAGATTGCAGGTTCGAACATCATTTTCAATGCATTAGTTTGAAAACCGCCCAAAGGCAAAATAAAGTTGGGAGCTCTCTCCAAGTCTTTATTATCTTGGAAAACACTATTTTTCTTTTAGTTAAAGCCAACAAACATGAGATGCAGCCATGCAAGAGGGTGGAGTTGGGGCTCATTAGGGCCACTGCGTGTACCATGGAGGCGTAGAATGTGAATAGCACAAAAAAATTGACTTCCATGGTCATAAGAAACCAATACCTTTTTGCCTTCGCTTTGCTTGCCAAAAGGAGCAGAATCCCCATGTCTAAAAAGAGCAGCCTGCCTTGCCCAACTTCCAATAAAGCTCTCTTTAACATTTCATCACATGTATAATATTTACAAGTTAATTAAGCCAACAAGAAAGAGCAAAGGAAAATCAAGTTGGGTCTTTTCCTGTGAATTTATTTGCTTTCTATCTCTATATATGCAATCTATGTCGACATTCAACAATCTACTTGTAATTCTGAATATCTATAAACACAAGAATCTACTCATCAAACAGATAAACAAAAGAAAAACGTATTATTATTTTTTAGAAAAAAAGCAACGGTAGAGTAAAAGGGATAAGGTGCTACCTTTACAATGTTAGCAAGCAACCTAGAGTCTCTGACAGCAAAGTCTTACATCATGTTGACCATGGCTTTTTTCCTCTCTTCCTTTTTGCTTTCTTCTTTTAAAGAAATTCTTGTAACAGTAATAGCAATACCTCACCAACTGGGCTGCAACCAATTTCTTTCAGCCCAGCCTAGTCACGGCAGAAAAAGATAACAAAAACAAGAAATAAGTCTTGAGATTCTCAACTAAAACTTATTTAATAATTAATGCACTTGTAAAGATATGAAACAAGTTTGAATATCATTTTACACCCAACAAAATGGCTTAAATATCATTTCAGAACTAATACCTATACCTCCTGCACCAGCCAACAATGAGGTTTTTGGTGGGATGCATCACTCCTGGTCTCAACATTACAGCCTAAAGTTGAAATAAACTTTAAACAATGCTGTTAACATATCTTTATAAGGTTTAAGACCACCAAATTCAATTCTGAAGTCCAAGTCAAGGACCCACACTATATTTTTTTCCCCAGAAATGAAAGGAAGGGCACAATTGATAATCCTACCAAAATAAGTCAGGTCTAATTGGAGAAAAGAATAATAAAGAAACACCAGAGGAGAATAATCTGGTGCAGTTTTCAAGATAGAACGTGAGCCGATTCAGATTGTACAAGATAGCAGAAACGACAATTTTAAAAACAAGCTAGAAATAAGAGAGATTCTCAACTAAAAGCAGGGTCCTCCAAACAAGGTTATCGATGTTCTAATTCTAATTGGATTCTATTTTTGGGATGGTACTCATTCGATTAATCAAATAAGATAACTATTGTTTAATTCATTTCAACACTTTTCCCCAATATTGGATTCTCTAAAAAGCATAATCTGTTCAAGTGTTGAGACTCGATAACAACGAAAATTGTTCTTTAACTATGTCAGTGGGTGGGTAGCCAGAAACGACCTATCCACTCAAATCTGGAAGAGGGAGGTTAAAAAGTAAATATAATGGAGGCTTTTAAGAAAATGGTGCACCAGACCAGAAGTTCATTCAAGTAAAAAACTATTACGGTATAGTTCTAGACATCATTGTCAGGACAGGGCCTAATAGATGTAAAACCACCCACCTCATAGTACTTTTTATTTTTGCCTTCTTCGGCTATGCCACCCAAGTTCTGCCTATTTCTTAGCCCCACGCCCACATTCCCATGCTTCCACAAATAGGGTGTAGATTCTTAAACCATGGGGAGAGGGAAGGAAGCATCGAGTCAAAGGCCCACATGCTGAACGGTGGATTCGACCCCATGTTCAGTAACCGCAGATTAATCATTAAACAACACCCTAGGATAAAAATTGGCTCGAATCATGAACTTCAGAACAGCAGAAACCCAAATCCAGGCAAATTGAACAAAAATTGGCTCTCCTTTCTTTGAATCATTTTTTTATCTGCAAGGGATTTCTAGAAAGGGCTAACATTTCTCACGCATCCTGCCCAGCCAAATTGCGTTCAAAATCAACAAGATAAGATAAATCATATTTGTTAATGAACTATCAATAAAATACTGCAGACAGTAGAGAGATTCAGGAGAAATGAGGCGTATGGTCTCATAAATCAGGACTTGGAATCATCATTATTATATCACTATCTTCCCGTTGCAGAAGGATGGATAAAGAATATGGATATGTCAGAGGGGCCATATTTAAGCTTTATCATAAAAGGGAAAGAAGATGAATTATTAACTTACCTCACGCTGCTCGAGGCAACGATACTCCGGTATAATCTTCTTCAATCATAAAATCAGTTCCTGCCATCCTCAAGAACAAAACAAGCATTTCAGTGGTGAAATATCGAAACATTATTACCTGAAAAGAAAATCATTGAAGAACTGCAGTGAGTTGCTTCTTTACCTTCGTTGCTTACAACTGCACCTTCAATTAAAGATCTAAACAGAAACCATTTGATCTTCCAGAGGGGTTTTTCTTATGGTGGGTGGGAAGAAAATGCCTTCACAAACTTAATAGTTCTTAACTATTTATCTTTCAAATTTTATTGATACCAGTAATATCCAAACCCAAACCCTTACACAAAAACCAGAAGGGGATTTGAAGGTTAACACCATGATAGGTTGCGTATAAACTATTTGTTTTTACGGTAGTTAAAAACTCAAAAAGGATAAAAAAAACAAAACCAAAATTTCATGGCTAGTCCTCAATAACCGATGCCAACCCAGTTACAATCTTAAGATTTCTAGCCCCAATCGATGAGCTTTTTGGCTTAAGCTCCGGAGGTTTCCATTCTTTTACAACGGCAGCAGTCTCAACCCCTCCCAACTCGTTAGGATCCACCGATTTCTCAGCGCCGGGACGGAGATTGATTTGGATGTTTCCAAGAGTATGCTTTGACTCAGGATCTGGACCCAAACTCGACAAAGATGACGCACGAATATGAGGAGAGAGCCACTTCGCCTTTACATACTCGGCTTTTCTCCATGGCGGAACAGGCATCCCTTTCTTTTTTAAGCTCTGTTTTGCAGCCTCTGATATGATCGATACGATCCTCTGAAGCCGACAAGGGTTGCCGACGAAGATATAAGGAATGAGTTGGAGTATCGCTTTGTAGCTTTTGGTTGACCGCGCAATTTCAAATTCTGATCGAAAGTCGATGTCTATCAATAAGCGTTCTCCGCCAATAATCACGTCAATATATTCGTAATCCCCTGATGCATCAGAAAATTGAACCCAATCAACAATAATCAGAAACAATCGGAACTCAGTTGCCTAATGAAATTCAAATTTTGAGAGAAGAAAAGATGGTCCGGTTCGAGTATCCTAGATTTTCTCCGGAATAACCAATTCATAAAAATTTTGGGTGAAAGGGGAAACTGGTGAGCAAACCGCTCAAATTCAAATTCAACAACCAAAAAATTCCCGTTAATAACAACAAGAGTGATTAAGAAATATACCGGCCGGATGTGTGGGGGACTTTTCCCAGTGAGATTTGCAGATGAAAGCATCGTATCCAAGGGCCAACAATCCATTAGTAACAACCTGCCTTGCTAAGTTGTCTTTACGCTTGCACACCTTGTTCTTCTCTACGATTCTGGCTGTGTCCGCTAATAAATTCCTCTCATGAACATTCGTACAGGGGATTAAGCTCTGCTCGAGTATGAAAGCGTTATTATCAGAAGGATAGAAACAAGAAACATAAACCATATAGGGCAAAATAAAGAGACGAAAATCGATCAACTCCAAAAAAAAAATGAAAATATGATCTGTTATACCTTCAGAAGTTCCCATGCCTCACCACCAGAGGAAAAATTGGAATCGCCAAAACCACTATGAGGATCCAATTCCTCTTCGGAGCTGTCCGTATAGTTTCCATTGAAGCAGTTGCAGCGACTGCGGCCACACCGAGACGCGCTAAATTGCTTCTCATTGTTGTCCTCTATGAAATTCTGAACCATATTCGCCAAGCATAGAGAGCTAGGCTCCAACTCAGAAGAGACGCCGTCGGAGCTGTCCTTGTTAACATTCGATTCTTCAAAGTTAGCCTTCTCTGCCGAATTTCTCAGTACGTTCGAGAACTGTCTCTCAAACAGTCGCTTCAATTTCGACTTCACGACCGGCTTCACGAGCTCAAACCGAGCTGCTTCTTCGGCTGTATCAAAATCGATTGGCTGGATCTTCATTTGAAATGTAATCTCTCGAACGAATTTCAGTGCCTCTCCAGATAATCAGATCTCAACAACTGTTATCTCCATCATTTTCCAAAATTGAAAGCTCGTATTCATTAATTCCTTCGGTTAATTCAGGATTAGAAAACGGACAAGTGTGTGTATAGAACAAGCAAAACAGTGTTACGCTAGCAAGATGAATAATGTGAACTCGATAACCTACAGTTCGATTAGAATCTTCATCGACATCTCTGAAGCGCATCTCAAATTAAATATACTGAAGATAAATTTGAGATAGCTAAAACTCAGAAACCTAATCCCTAATAATTATAATGAAGTTTTTGCCTAATCTTGTAACCACAATATGGAATAACTTCGAAACTCAGGCAAGTAAAGTCGCTTTCGCTTGGGGAAACCAGATACGGTCAGAGAGCACAGACCGTACCTGCAACGCAACCGACCATTCGAAACTCCATAATTCCCGGCAAGAAAGAAACTTCCCGGCGAAGGGAAAGTGTAGAAATGGACTCTGTGTTAGAGTACGGTCTCAGGTCTCTTCAGTCGACGATGGAAGAGAAATGAGGAGTCTTCGAGACATTTATTAAAAAGAGAAAGGAGAGGTGCTGACCAGGATCGATATCCACGTAGGATTTCCAACGTGGCAATAAAACGATATGATCACGCGAGGAGCACGTGTCGACCACTCGACGAACTTGCTTCGTGGCTTCCCAGTTTGGCTCCACGTTATGTTTAGATGACGATAGTATTCGGAAAATAAAAAGTATTGTCCCGAAGATAGCCTTGAGTAGATTCGGAAATAACGAGTTTGCCACCAGCCCTCAAACACGGAGGTGTTCACAACCGCCACATGATCGTGTGGCGTGGGCGAGGGGCAGCTAAAGAAAACCAACCAACCCACTCCGGTGAAATTCTCGTGTCAGTATGAAATGACGAGATTACCCTCGGTCTTTAAGAGAGTCAATGCTTAACTAAGTCGAAATTGCGACCAGAAACCTCGAGGAGGAAGAGGTTATTGTGTCATTTCGATACAGTTAAGGTTTTGGTGTGGATAAACATTTTATTTTATTTTGTGTTTAAATAATATTAAAAACGCAAATAATTTATTTTATTGTGTGAATTTTTGGGATTATTTAAGAAAATAACAACAAAATAGAGAAGGGCATGGTGGTGGGCCCCACCCCCATGGATAAGTGCTAGTGAAGCGGTTTCAGGGTATGGTAACTGGACAAAACGACGCCGTTCTGTTCTGCTCTGTTGTCTACACATCAATCAAACTCATATCATGTCATCCCACCGCTCTCATTGCATGTATCAACGCCACGTGTACTTTCCTCATTTTCCTAGCCATTCAATTAATTTAAAATTAAAATTAAAATAAATAAATTTGGTAAATAAAAAGGAGATTTTGGTAATATGATGATGGATAGGTGAGCAGATAGTGCGTTTTGGGCCATGTTTTTCGGTGATATCTTTTTCCTCATTAATTTAATAATTAAATGGAATTAAAAGCAGGGAGACCATAATTGTTTTTTAACCTTAAAAAATTAATAAAATACATAATTTCAAATTACCTTTATATCCCCACTTTTTTACTTTTTACCTCCCTCTGTTTGTGTTGTAATTTTTCTCTTTAAAAACGCTTTAATTCCCCATTCCCCACTTTAGCTCTCTTTTTTTTGACATTGGATAAAGTAAAATAACAGCTTGCCATTCAATTTCATGGTCCCATTAATTTTTTAATTTCTTAAATTAATTAATCTATTAAATACAATTTTAAATTTTAAATCGTCCCACGTGTTTTAAACCCTTGAAGGGAAGCTCGAAATGGAAAGCCCAGCCTTAAAGGGAAGCTCAAAAAAGACAATATCTACTGGTGGTGGATCTGGGGCGTTACAAATGGTATCAGAGCCAGACACCGAACAATCTGGGGCGTTACAAATGGTATCGAGGGAAGGGGTAGACACGAGGCGGTGTGCCAGAAAGGACACTGGGGCTAGGGTGGATTTGGTGGTGGTTCCACATCGATTGGAGAAAGGAACGAGTGCCAGCGAAGACGCTAGGCTTCAAAGGGGAGTGGATTTTGATGTCTCACATTGGTTGGAGAGGAGAACAATTCACCCTTTTTAAGGCTGTGGAAACCTTCTCCCGATAGACGTGTTTTAAAGCCTCGAGCAGGAGCCCTAAAGGGAAAGCGGAAGGAGGACAATATTTGACGGCCGTGTAAGAATAGTAAATTTCATTGAAATAAATATAAAATATTAATTAATAGCAATATAATTTATTGGTAAAAAGAAAAAAAAAAAGCTTTATTTCTTATACCACATGTTTCAATAATTAAGATTATAATTTTTTGAAAAATAATAATAGAGCTAATAATTCCCTCGATATTAAGTTTCATGATAAAGATCTTTGCTATAATTCAAATACTCAAATTCTAATTTTAATTGGATTATTACATGATGACACCGAAATTCATAATTATTATTTTTATTATTATTAAATAGTTATTGTGGGCTCCATCATGAAATTGCGGGCCACGTGTGTAAACGTTGGGCCCAAAGAAACTGAGCTTATCTTTTTTATTGGGAAGCCCATTAAGGCCCACATACACAATTATGGATTGAGATTATTTCCATAAAAGCCCCTGTATGATACTTTATTATCAATTTTACCCCCTTAGCTTTTGGGATTTCAGTTTGGAAACAAATAAATAAATTACTCAAATAATATATTTTTTCTTTAAAATAAAATATATTTATTAGAAAAAGATAGTTTGGAAATTAAAGATGTAATTATTTATGATCTAAGTGTTGTTGGATCTTTAGTACAAGACAAGATTGTCTTAATTGATGTTGAAAATTTTCATTATTATCATATATTTCAAAAAGAAAAGCGAAAAAAAAAAAAAAAGTTAACGAACCTTCTAGATCACAAAAGCGTTTTATTTTTATTGACTTCATATCCTTAACTTCGTGTATGTATTATGAGCGTCTTTGAAAGTTTGTTTCTTTCCTCAACTTTAATGACCGACTTTAACTTGCCCAAGCCTTCAACCGCCCCGACCGCGCACACGGGAACGTTCTGCCACCGTCAACCGCCTTCGACCTCCAACCACGACCCCCACGACCCCACGCCCCAAGTATATACTCGCCGATATTGTCTTTTCTGGGTTTTCCATTTTGGGTTTTCTCTCAAGATTTTAAAAACCCGTTTATTTCTACACTCTTATAAAGAATGTTTCGTTCTCTTTCCCACTGACGTGGGATCTCATAATCCACCTCCTTTCAAGGCCCAGCGTCCTTGCTGGCACACCGCCTCGTGTCCACCCCTCTTCAGGGCTTTAGCCTACTCTTTGGCACATCGCTCGGTAATCTGGCTCTGATACCATTTGTAATAATCTAAATATGATAATATTTGCTAGCGGTAGGCTTGAACTGTTACATACATATTTATTTTATAAATTATGGAAATACATTCGGATAGTATTTTTACTTGCAGAAAAATTATTATTATTAATAAATAAATTTGGATATAAAATTTAATTTTAAATAGCTAAAATTAAGATTTATTGAAAAAAAATATAAAAATTTATTAATTGGACAAGTAGAAATAAAGGGAATAGAATTATGTTAAATTGTGGGTCAATTCTGGAATTTGGGTAATTATGATGGGCCGTATATGAGAAACCTAGAAAGACAAGGGGTCTGTATGCAAATATGAAGCTCGAAAATTTCAGAAGTTGAAATTCCCACCTAAAATAAACCGCCAAGACGAGAAAGAAGGCGATTCAAAAAGCAAAGGCTATCGTACAGTCACACTAAATTGCCTTCCATCGCCGCTCCATCTCACTCTTCTCTTCTCCTCTCCTCTCATTGCTTCCGCGATCTTCAGGTTTCTTCCTTCTCATTTATTTGCTTTAGTTTTGTTTCTGTTTTGATTTTGATTTTCCTTCTTTCATTTATCCGCTCGTTTCCCGATCCAGATCTGTACACAATTGCTCGTTAATTCTCGGTTGTTTATTCTCTTTTTGTGGTGTTTTTCCCACTAAACTGCGAATTTACTCTGTTCGAGATGCTTATCTGAATGTGAAAACATTTGGCAGGTTGAAAAATGGCGGGAAAAGGCGGGAAGGGACTTTTGGCTTCAAAGACCCCTGCAGCGAACAAAGATAAGGACAAGGACAAGAAAAAACCAATCTCTCGATCCTCTCGTGCTGGTATACAGGTGCTCTTTTCAATTCTAACCTGGATTTTTTTCCTCCTAATTTTGGAAGCGACGAATTAAACTAATTGGAAACGTTAGTGTCTTAGCTTTAGTATGTTTGACTTTACCTCCTAATCTTAGAACTAAAAACGTTTTGATATTTTATTCATTTAAATAAGGTTATTATGTTGATATATCTGCATATTTGGTGATATTCGTTCCTTCGAAGTTTATTGTAATAGCATTTTTTGTTGACAGCTTTGAATTTTACCATGGGACTCTGAAATCTTACATAATTCTATGTTTAGAGTGAAAGTGTAAGCTAGTTTTTTTGTGGATTGGGCTGAAAATATGTATTAATGCTACGTGTAGTCGAGATTTGTACAATTTTGTTGATGTATCTGCATATTGTGATCTGTGTTCCTTCAATTTTTACGGCAATACATCTTTTCGTTGATAGCTTTGGATTTTAACCTGGGACTTATAAATATTTGTTTTTAATTATTTGATTAGTGGGGAAAGTGTATGCTAGTTGTTTGTGGGTTGGGCTGAAGTTCACAAATCTAATGCCCTTTACTTTTTATGCAACATGAAGTGAAGAAAAGTACAATTTTGTTGATGTATATGCAATATTGTGATCGTTGTTCCTTCAATTTTTACTATGATAATTTTTTGTTGATAGTTTTGAGTTTAAACTTGATACTGAAAGAGTAAGGTAGCCTTTTTGTGGGTTGGGCTGTAAATTCTCAATTCGAATGCCTTCGTACTTTTTAATGTTATACTCTTTTAATTCTTTGCGTTGGGGGGAAGTGTAAGCTAGTCTTTTGTGGGTCGGGATGAAAGTTTTCAATTCAAATGCTCATGTAATTTTTTTTTTTTTAACTACAACTGGGTTTAGTCCACGTGAGTTCACACTTAATTTTGGCTTTCCATTTCTCCGATTGTGGGGTTTTAGTTCCCTGTGGGACGAATTCACAGGCATCTTAAAACAAGAATATCTGCCAATGGGCGAGTTGGTGCGACTGCTGCAGTGTACCTAGCATCAATTCTGGAGTATCTGACCGCCGAAGTGCTTGAGTTGGCTGGAAATGCGAGCAAGGATCTGAAAGTGAAGAGAATCACTCCAAGACACCTTCAGCTGGCCATTAGAGGAGATGAAGAACTTGATACCCTGATCAAAGGAACCATTGCTGGAGGTGGTGTGATCCCTCATATTCACAAGTCCCTCATTAACAAAGCCTCCAAGGATTGAGACGTTCACTCATATATATCTCTAATTAGTTTAGCCTTCTAAGACTGTAGATGAAGACATTAAGTTAGCATCCCAAGGATTAGCTTCCCTGCTTGCTTTTGTGAAGCTTTGTTACTCTCCCACACCCTCTTTTATCTATTTGGTTGGACAAGTATATTTGTTCAGTGTAATATTGTTATCTTGTTGGATGGTTTTTAATTTAGCTTACTTTCTATAAGTTTGTTGGATTGTTCAATCTGGATCTGGCTATAGTCCTTCCTCTTTTGAGAAATATGTGGAAATTAGGTTAAAGAACTACGACACTTACACAAAGACACACATGTTGACTAAGGGTAACGGCCTAAGTTTACTGCTAGCAGATATTGTCTATTTGGATTTTTCTTTTCGGGTTTATCTTCAAGATTTTTAAAATTAGGGGAGGTCTTCACACCCTTCTAAAAGGAGTTTCGTTATCCTCTCCAACCGATGTGGTATCTCACAATCCACCCCCTTTGGGGCCAGTGTCCTCGCTGGCACTTACTCCTTTCTCCAATCGTTGTGGGTTCCCCACTAAATCCACCCCTTCAGGGCCCAGTGTCTTCATTGACACTCGTTCCTTCGTCCAATTGATGTGGGGTCCCCACCAAATCCACCCCGCTTCAAGGCACACCGCCTCATGTTACCCCCTTTCGGAACAACCTCTTCGCGGGCACATCGCCACATCGCCTGGTATTTGGCTTTGATACTATTTGTAACGAGCCTACCGCTAGCAGATATTGTCCTTTTTGGACTTCCCCTCAAAGTTTTTAAAACGAATATGCTAAAGAGATTTCCACATCTTTATAAAGGGTGTTTCGTTCTCCTCCCCAATCGATATAGGATCTTGCACTTAGGATCTAATAGGCGGAGTGTTGAAGAGAGATTTAGATAGGCGGAAAGATTTAGGGACAAGTTTGATAGTTTGTTGAGCTTAGGTATAACAAATAGTATTCTAATATTAGTCGACTTTATATCACGGAAACAGGAATTGCATCATATCATTAGAATTTTGTAATCTTGCCCCCTCAAACATATATCCGTCCAATGAAAAACAGAAAAAAAAAAAAATGGTTCTTGTTCTTTACAATGAAAAATTGAAAATGACATTATTTCAATACAAATGTGTTCATAAACTTAATTCCATTATTTACAAAATAACTAACAATGGAATCTTCCCAAAGCCAGGAAAGAATGTTTGTTTTGGATAAATCCAAAAATTAATATAATTGAAAAATATTAGAAATTGCCTGTCCTCTGACATATCCCATGAAAAATAATTTTTATTTTATTTTCGGTCATTCCAATATGGATTCTAAATTTATAAATTTACATATGATTATCGTTTCTAATCAAAACAAACATGATAAATAAATATTGTTAGAATACAAAGCTTCAAACTTGGTCATCCATCACTTTCAAAGTACTCCAAATGCATTATTATCAGACTCAGTAGGGAAAACTATAAATACTTTTATCAAAATTTAATAGAAATCATCGATAGATTAAGACATCATTTTTTCTACGTAATGAATTAAAATTAATTAAATATATTAGACCTTGTGTTAGTTAAACTTAAAGAAGAGCTTAATGTATATCCCATCTCTATTCACCTAATTTAAATAGCCCCTTGGCTGGTTTATAGCCCCTCCATCTTCCATTGCCTCTTATCTTATAAATACAACCAAACTTTCTTCTAAGCCTGAAATCTCCCTCCCTCCCTCCCTCCAAAAATACAAGAAAAACGCCCTTGAGTCCCAAGAGAAAGAAATGGAAGTAAGAGTTGGTGAGGTAAGGAGAGTGATTTTGGGAAGTGGGACAAACGTGAGGAGAAGCAACAAAACGAAGAAGATGAGAAGAAAAAGCATTGCCTGTGTAGCAGTGCTTACAAGAGCAGCAGAGAGTGGAGCAACAGAAGAAACAAGAAAACCAAACACTGTTTATACAGACAACTGGTTTGAGAAAATAGCCATCCACCATGTATCTCAGGCAGTACAAGCAACCTCAGGTGATCTCTTTTCTTTTCTTTTCTTTTCTTTTCTTTTCTGTTTTGAAGATTTGGAAAATAGAATTAATTATGATGTATATTCAGGTTGGAGAAGCAATAAGAGTGGATATGAAAGCTTGGTGGAAGTGGCAACAATGGCGTCAAGAAACTACAACCAGATCAAACAAAGAGAGGTTATCATTCAGGCGCTTGGAAGAGCATTTCCAGCTCCAATCCTCTCTTTGGTAAATTTCATTCATTCATTCATTCAATATCATTTACTACTCTTTTGACTTTCAATGTATTTATGATATAAATGCATATATCATGCATATATGTAAAATACTATCACCACACATATCATTAAAGATTTTACCAATACCAATTTCAAGACTACAATCATTTTACTCTCACCACTCCCTCAAATATTATTGCTAAATGTAATTTCAAAAGTCATATATTTATTTTTCTAGGCGGCTCTAAGTTATTTATTTACCTATGATATTAGGTGATAAAAGCAATAAATGTTTCCACATCAATAGAAGTTCATTATTAAATAATTTGATGAATTTCATTTAGGCCAAATTTCAATACTTTGTCTTCCTTATTTGGTCGGTCTCCCTTCTTCTTCCCATTTGTTTGTTTAAGTATTGACATAATTAAGTTTTTTTACCATAACCTATAAGCTAGAAGTTTCAAGTTGATTGTGGTATCAGAGCATGAGGTTATGTGTCCTGTGTTTGAACCCTATAATATAATTTTCTGATTTCGAACTTAAATTCGTAGGATCCAACACATTTTGGGGGATATAGCTAGGTTTCATTGCCTAGGTTAGAACCTACCTGGAACTATACCCTTTTCTAATTTTTCTTTCCATTAATCATGGGGTATAATAGTTATTTGATTGGCATGTCATTATATGGAAATAGTATCAGCAAATGATCACATTTTATATTATATTTCTAATTATCAGCAATTATTCGATTAAAGAAGTATTAAGACTGTACTTTTACTATTCTCGATCCATTTCCAATTTCGCCTTTTACTATTAAAACCCCACCCCTCTCAATCGTATGTCCCTAAAAAATATAGTGGTGAACAAAGTGCAGATAAGAACATTGCTACCTCAATCCAAATTCGCAAGGGAATATTTTGCTGCATTCACCACTGTCTTCTTTGCTTGGTTAGTTGGACCCTGCGAGGTAAGATGTTGTAAATAAATTTAGCCAAGGACATAAATTGGGAATTAACATCAATCCATGGACATAATTGGGAATTAACGGCTGCTTGTATACATACACATTTGGGTAAAGCACATATTATATTATCGACCAAAAAGTCAAAAGTTTGAATTCCTACTCCAAAGAGAGAGATGGTTCTGGGATCTGTCACAGGGCTTAGGATCGATGTCAAAAAAAATTTCAGAATATAGAGTATTTAAACATTCAACAAACAAGGTCAGAATAGAGATAGATTCCAGCTAATGGTGGACACAAGAACTTCAACTTTAGCACTAAATTCAATATAATAATATGATTTTCAATGGCCAAGTTGATAAACCTGCAGTGTCTGAGGCACTAGTCCCTTCTAGACTTGTCCTGTCCCTACAAATGAAAGAAAGGTTTTGTGACGTAAGATAGATAAACCTATTTTTTAAGAAACTATCTTCTCTTCATGCTTACTCTCTTTGGCCTTTCACTATCTAGGCATTCCTTAAGAACTCAGATTAAACACAATTGATATGTCTAGTTTGTTGGGGAGGGAGTGATTGAAAAAGATTTTTAAGAGAAACGACTAAACAATGCAGGAGCCATTCCCTACGCACACACAAATGGAAGAAGCAAGTCTCCTTCTCAATTACTAATTTAGTAACATATGATTCTTACAGGTGAAGGAATCGGACTTCAAAGGAAAAAGAGAAAAAAATGTGGTTCAAATCCACAAGTGCAGGTAATTCTTTCTCGCATCAGAGTTCTATAATTAAGGCAATGTTCGACCTACTTGAGACAATTTCCACGCCCACAGAACCTTCTGTCTGTAATTATTATGCTCATTCTAAACTCTCAGTACTTAATCACAGTAAGTCATGTCCATCATCCACATCATTGAAATTTTGAAATTATCGTTGTCAAAATAACACTCAGCAAATATATATTGTGCCTAAACATATCCCATTTATTTGCAGGTTCCTAGAGCAAACTAACTGTGCTGGAATGTGCATTAATCTATGCAAGTTTCCATGTCAGGATTTCATCAAGGATTCTTTGGGAATGCCAGTCAGCATGGTCCCCAGTAAGTCTCCTCTCACTAAGCTATAGAACCACCGAACAATTGCGGCAACCATATACAGTTTTCCCAAAAGAAAAACAAAATTTCAAATTCACATAGACTGCAGCACAAGGCAATTCTAGACACTAGTTCAAGCTGTCTAACTATAACTGAAGGCCATATTTCCTTTTTCTCGTATCCATAGTGTTCAGGTTTGTTTGCACACACCACTACTATTCTTACAAGATAATTGTCTGACTCTATTTAGTTTGGTTGCCAAAAAAAAAAAAAAAGAAATCATAGGATATTAAACAATTAAGCAGGTGAGTACAATGGCTAGAGCTCGTTCTCTCTAAGTTTTTTCCTATTTTCATGGGCTCTTTTTTATCACAAAACTAAATCATGGTGGTTAACTCAAAAGGCCATTATAAAAACTTCATATCCACATATAGAACATTAGAATTAAATTATTTCAAGACCTCTATATGGTTTAGATGAGAGGACACTAAATAAAGTAAATCTGCTATAGCACAATGACTGGTAGATCCATGAGTAAAAGTGAAATTACTATTAAAGCAACATTACCAGCACCAAATGGTGGAAAGGATCATGGTTGTCAATGTGAATGGAGGGTCCCATGCATGAACCATTTTGGGTACAAAAGAACTGCAGATAGGCCCATCCAAGCTAAGTGGGATTTCTAACCTGCAGCTTAATTTTGCAATATGGTTATAATCCAAGAGTTAGAAGCTGAATTCCCATCGTTAATTAATCATCAAGCTGGATTTCCCACTGAGCCAGGTATCGCTCTTGGTCATCATATACATCAATCATCACAGGTGTAAAAAATGCAACCAAGCAAAGGCATTTTTCTTAGGCGTTAATTATGCACCATGATGTAACTAATAGCTGGGAACCACTAGTATTAATGTCAAAGACCAAGAAACACGTCAATAAGCAAGGGGAATCTGGGAGCAAATGGGGGCGGCAAGAAGTATTTAAAAATATGATTAAAATAAGTGTCTTTCTTTGCAGATTTTGATGACATGAGCTGTGAGATGATATTTGGAAAGGATCCACCGGCTGCAGTCGATGATCCAGCGCTTAAGCAACCATGTTACAAACTATGTATTAACCTTACACGAGTCTTCTTCTTCTTTTCTTATTATTACCCTTTACTTCTTTACCTGCAAGTGGAGAAGTCGTATGTTATAATTCACTGGGCAAGGTAGCAGGACTACAGCAGGTCCAAACAAGATGTTTAGGGGGATGGTAATATAAGTTAAAAATGAATTCTAATCTTATTCGTTTACTTTTTGCAGGCAAAACAAAAGAAAAACATACGACAAACTGCTTCATTTAGAGCAAAGGGACGCTTGAAGCAAGATTTTCGGATTAGATCCGTTTTAGCTCCCAACTGTTTTTGTTTTCAATATTTTCAGGATTGCAGCAGAAGCTCTTTTCTTCTTCCAAGATGTACAGATACTTTTACGGTTTATGCATCAGATGCCAAAACAACTTTGCAGGAATCTGGCTTTCATGATCATTACAATGGTTCAAAGATGAAATCTACAGTACTGTCAGATATCATGAATACAATTAAAGCCGATGCTGTAATTACAATCGATTATCCTCAGGTGAGATGCTAAAATGAACAATATATTTCATAGTGCCTTAATAGAAAGAAAACCATCCTTTGCTGAAAAACAGCTAAGTGAAACATTTCCTCAAACAGTTAATATTGCTTCAGCATGTGACTTGTGAGTTTGATAAAAAAAAAAAAAAATTAATTAATTAATTAATTAATTTAATATGAAATATAATATTTTGCCAACTTGATATAGTATCTTAAATGCACATTAATATTGGTAACCAATAACTGTCCTCTTTACTAGTTAGCTGTTATTTCAGCTCTGCAAAATATAAACATTCTGCAGCTGAAGATTCTAAACCATGGGTATTATTGCTCTAATGTTCACAAAGGGACGCTCTCTGTCGACTCAATAAACATAGAATGATCAGTTACTTGGCTCTGACTAGGAAACTCAATTTTCAGTATTTGTGAGACTGTCGATCCTGATACAACAAAACATAATTCATCACGTTCATAATTCATTTTGAAAACCTCAGTTATTTTATGATAGACTACCCTTATCGCAATAGTAATTGATCTAGTTAATTTAAAGAGGCTATCCACGTGAAACAATTATAATGGTTGTAACAACCTCAATAAGTTCGAAGCGACTGAAAGATGCAAACATGGATGTGATTAGGCTAATTTGATCCACTAATTACAAGGACAATATTGATGATTAATTCCAATTGTGTATACACTAATGATCATTCAGATATTCAACGAAATCAGTACTTTTAATGATTATTGATTCTGTTCTCTTTGATAAGGCTTAAGACTGAAATTATACGTATCATTTTCCTGTTTAGAAAATGGCAAAGGCAATTATTTTCTTTATTAAATATTTAAAGGTATCCATTTTGACTGGGGGTTTATTGTGGGATTAAGGTCAGCAAATGTGGACCAAGATTGTTTCCCACTTCATTTTGTTTCCAAGTAACCAGGCTAAGATTCTTCTGATGTCTTGTCTCATTATGAGGGCGACTGAGTACTGAAACCCACTATGAACCTATATAAAATTCAGCAACAAGTTCTTTTATAGGAAGGTTAAATCTGCAACCACCAAGTGGAGGAATATATCTGGACAGCACGGGACATCAAGATGAAAACACCATGCTAATCAGACAAGAGGTCAGGCTATTTGGAAAACTTGAACAAAGCTCTTCTAAAAATGCAGCTTTACATCAGAACTAAAAGTTCTTTAACCAACAGAATAGCATTTTTCCTATAAGAAGCATATTCAGATATGCAGTCGCGATATGAATTGACGTTTCATTGAAACGTAAGGAGGCTATTTTATTAGACAATGTTGTAATCATAATGTTGCAAAGATTGTTCCTTAGAAAATAAGGACTCCTTTTTTCCTCCTTTCTCATTATCGTCACTGCACCTTTGTTTCTTCCATTTTCATTGATGAATCCATATCCAACTTCTCCCTCAATGTTCTGATCATAAAATGCATGAGAACGGGAAAAAAGGGAAAATAAGAAAGAAAAAGAAGTTGAAGTCACGAGTTTCCGATGAAAAGGTACTTGCAAAATTTTTTATCTTAATATTTCTTTTTAATTTTTCCTTTTCAATTTTGTAACTTGGGGAGAGAGGGGCAAACCCTTTCACTTCTAGTCAACGGGTCAACGTCCTTGCTTAATTAAATTTTACAGAGTTTGCTTTCCACCCTAAACTGTTCTGTCTTTATTTTCTTTCCATGCCATTTATTGCCACATATAAAATTGACTTGAATAGGTGTGAATCAAAATACCAAGGTTATGGGTAAAGAACATCTTGCGAACATTTAGAAAATCCGCCACGAACCAGGGATGAATTCATCAATATAAAACCAAGATAGAGAATGGTTTACCTTGTACTGCACTGGCTAGGGAGAGAACCGGCTAAATCTACCAATGATTTCTGGGCAGTGGTAGTAGTAGGATTACCTCACAATTAATTACCAGGTTCTTATTAGGCGGCCCAAAACTTCGGGCTCTCTGTCTGTTTCACGTTGTTGTAGGCCCTGAGGGGAGAGATTGGGATTTTGGCTGTCCTATCTCAGGAAGAGAAGCCCAAACAAATTAGTTTTATGAACTCTAAAATGCCCACTGAATGACCACTTTATCTTTTTAGATCAGCGAGGCGTCAAAGCTCCTACTTCAAGGTTTCAGGGATCTTGAACGTTTGTAAATCCATTTAATAATAGATCAACAACTTGGTAAATCCAATCTCACCTGCCCTTCTTTCCAATATCTAACCGACCACTTTGTATAAAAAAATTAAATTCACCAAATCGATGAGGAATCAGTCAATTGGTAAAACCCAAACCCAGCTTCTACTCAATAATTATTACTGAGTACGCAAACTCACTTTGGAAGACAGCTATACCATGTAGTTTCTTTTTTCTTTTTCTTTCTTTTTTTAGTTTAAAAATACTTAAGGGAGGGAACAGATATTCAAACCTTTGATCTTTCTATTATATAAATCCCTCCACCATTGTTAACCATGTCAAATTAATCTAGAGAAACAGAAAAAGAATACTTCATGTTAAAGCTCATCCTGTTGATTTCAGCTTAAGCTGCTGTCCCTAGTCTTTCATAGAAGAGAAATTAATGTCATGTCAACTAAAAAACTATGAGTAAAAATAAATATTAAATAACAAACAAACAAAGTTTTATGGTGAATTTTTTTTTTAGGGGTTCTCACACAAAATTGGCTGTGATAGAGAGATCTTTGCTGGCCCATTTATGTCAGTGGGGACTGAGATGCTTCATGTTATTATCAATAAATGGTTGAACTGATCCCGGGTCCTCTACCAAGATGGTGGATGCCTATTATGAACATGCCTTAACTTTCTGTTTGAACTGTTCATAAGTCCTACTACTATAACTATAATATATTTCCCTAGGCATGCCAGATTTTGAGTTTTATCTTTAGAGCTTTTAGATTGTTCTTGTGACACATGGTATTAAATAGTTGGGGCTGTAACTAAATCTTCTGGGAAGTTTCTGCCTAAGGCTACAGAAAGCTGTCAATATTAGACTTTGCCAAAAAGGCAAGGGAAGGAGGAGGTGAGTTGTGACTTAGTTAATACTGTGCAAGTTGTAATACCAAACTAATCTAATTTAATAATATTAAACCCATGAAATTCACTCGGTTTGGTTGAAACATTTTATCAAACAGTTGGCGGGACTTATTGACCTCGATCTCAGCGAAAACTGAGCTATATATGGCGATTGTTGGCTGTCATGTTCGTCTCCTTTTCACCTAAACCCACAGGCGGATCTCAATTACTGACAACAAAGCATTCATATTGACTGCCATTGACAAAATTATCATCTGGCGGAAAAAAAAAATGGGTTCAAGAAAGGGGGACAATGATTGAGTACGATGCAGAGATGATGAGCAATGGCCACAAAAATGAGAAGGAACAGCAATGGACACATAATTAAGAGTGGTTGGTTTTACAAAAACGTACCTCTCCGCCAGTTTTCTCTGAAGAAGCTCTGTTTATTGATGTAACAATTTGAAGCTCGAGGGGAGAGTGGAATGCAGAAGCAACATGTGAAACTGGCAGTGGCGTTAATTCGCATTATTCAATGCATTCGCAGATAAGATTGCGCCCTTCTGCGTCGACAAGGACCCCATATTTCCATTAATTTTGCTGAGATTCTCTGGTTTTAGCTTCTTTTGCTTATAAATACTTTTACTCGCGGAGGGAGACAAACAAGTAATGGATTGCATAACAGGAAGCAGAAAGCGCCCGTTGTTAGGTCAGCTTGGGTTAGCTTATCCATCAACTCTGAGAGATTGTTATCAAGGCACAGGGGACCCAATCGATCTTCAGCCATTGGCGTTAGGAGCTCAAATAGGGTTCCCCTAATGAAAAACCGATGGAGCAAAATTGGATTGGAATCCCCCAATTGCTTTGAAACTGACAGCAAAACGGATGATGATGTGTGGCGATTGGTTTGAGAGCCCCACAAGTTTTTGAAGTTTGTAGGTGTTCCCGCGCTTCGTCAATTATGGCGACTGCCTAATGAATCAGGAAATGTTAACGAAGCACCATTATTGGAGGGTCTGGCGTCCACCATTATTGCTCACAAAACACCAAAACAAGAACAAAAAAACAGCGCCCAAATACAAATGTCAATTATCCCATATTATCCGTTTTACTTACTTTTTATTTTTTATTTTTAAAAAAGTTATATTAAATTCATAAAATTATGTTTAGATATTTATAATCTGGACCATTACAAATTTACTAATATATATATATATATATATATATATATATATATATATATATATATATATATATATATATAAAAGATCCTTTTGATACGGGTAGAAAAATCTGATGCAGATCAATCCCTTGTTCTTATGCAAAAGATCTTACCATTTTGGAAGGAACTCGAGTTACACCTCTTTTCTATTTCCATTGGAGACCATAGAAAATGAACAAGTCTTCTTCCCGGGACATATATTTGACAATTAAATCTTTAATTTAGAGAGAATATATCTGATGGACTGTTAATAGAAGTGGATTGCTTCACAATTTTTTTTACAGCAATAGTAATAGTAAAAATAAGTTGGGAAAGGTAACAACAATGGCAGGTGAGATGTGAACAGTACGTTATAAATAATTGGCCATTGACAGAGGAAGACCAAGCTGCCTGCCCTTCAAACAGTACCAAACCCAATGGACCATAAATTTATTTACTTTTTTGAGTACATGCAACTAAAAACATGTATTAGAATTTAAAGAGAACATATATGGAACGACCCCAAAAACATGTATTAGAATTTAAAGAGAACATATATGGAACGACCCCAAGCATTTAAAGGGTTGGTAGGGGAAGATTTTCATACCCTTATAAAGGGCGTTTCGTTCTCTTCCCCAGCCAACGTGGGATATCACAATATGTCTTAACTAGTTGAACTGTATCGTAATGGTCTAGATGTTGAAAGACTGAAGTGGTCGAGAGAGATTAACCCGCACCACATACATTTTCTAACCTTCGAACCCAAACCTAAATGATTTAAGTTGTGGAAATTAGAGAGAGAGAGCACATGAATTCCCCTGCTTTTCAGGTCACTTTTACCTATCACATGAGGAATTTTTAATTATCAAACACTTTCCCTTTCTTTTTCTCACATGAAATCAACACTACAGAGCAACCTCCCACCCACCCCCTCCTCCCCACTTCACTATTTTATGAGTAAATGCATGTTTTATACATACAGATCAATTTTTCATTCTTTTTTTCCTTAAGAAAAAGGGTTATTCTTAGATTTTCCTGTTCTTTCTCTCCCCCATGACAAACAGATGACTAACATTAGCATTTGTCTAAAAATAATTAGCTGAAAGGATAGGGAACTTTGCCTTTTTAGCCTTTGCCTTTCAGAACACCAGCTTCCTTCTAGGCATGTTTATTCCATTATTGGCAGCGAGATCACGGATGGTTTCCCCTATCAAGTCTTTGAATATTAGCCTCTCCATGTCTAAAACAGCTTGGGATGTTTCAACAGCCGAGTCCCTCCATCCACTACCACCATCCCTTGTTAGGTCCTTCTTTAGGACACTGCAGATCACCTCAAACAAGTCCTCTGATGCTTCTTCGTCTTCCCGGTCCCTCATTCGCTGAAACTCGAACCAAATCTCCTGCACTGAAGTCGACTCCGCCATGGATTTCCATGGTGGCAATTGCCTGTTTCGATCGAGAATTTCATTTATTGTGTCGAAAATTAGCCTCCTTTGAAGGCTTGACACCTTGGAGACATCCTTCCCTTTCAGGTACTGTTGCTCCTCTAACAATAGGAAAATATCGGAGTCGTCATCTTGCAGGCAACGTGAGGCTCGGAGAACATCCATAACGTAAACCAAATCACAGTCGTTGGATCCATCGACCAAACTCGATTCCACGGATGAGATAGCTTGAAACCACGCATCTTCCACATCAACCACTTGGTCTGATAACACAATATCAACAAGAACAAGAAACAATCAATGAACAGTAACATGCAAACATAGTCATTCTAAGTAGACCCTCAAAAGTAGCTTCATTAGAACCTACAACAGTACAAGTGGATGGCCCTTGACCCACTAAAAGAATGGATAAAGAAGAAGCACAAAAGAAAAATCCATCCCAGTTAATAAATTCCCACTTCCAGGACTTAACAGGCCGGTCCCAATTTACTCCACTCACCCTCTTAATCCAACTGGCAGTTTGCTGCTGATAGACATCATTCATAAATTTCCATAGCTCCATGCGCTAGACAATTAAAGTCAGTGTACCATAAACCTAGGTACTTTTCCCACATGATCAATACCCATCACCAACAAAAGATGGCAACCAACGAGGGCTGTTCGGGACTAACTCGGTTTCTAACGACTTTTCAAGCGCTTAAAGCCATTTTCTTTGCATAAACCCTAAATCTTTATAAATGGAAGTTGATTGGATGGGCCTCCTCCATGAGGAAATTGAATTATGGTTGGTTCAATCCAACTACCAATCAAATCCATCCAGCTGAGCTGAAAATTTCAAAGCTGGACACACCCTACTAACATGGGTCCTGCGTGAAAATCACTGATGTGGCATGAATTTACCAAATCATCTGACTACTTTGGATTTGGGTCATCGAAGAGGACCCCCAAAAACAAAAACCCAGTGGCTGGCGAAGCCACAGGTCACCCAAGTACTCAAATACTTTAACTAAATATGGTAAAATAAGTGCCAACAAAGTCAAAAAGAAAAATCTAGCGAATGAAAATCTAATCTGCGTACAAGAAGAAGGAACCCAAAAATCGACCTGGGTGGGTTTTCTTTAAGAAAGAAAGAAAGAACAAAAAGTTAAATGAAGCATTGGGTTTGTTTTTCCTTACCCTTGAAATCTATTTGCCGTTTTAGTACAGGCGATGGCGACGACTCCTCCTTGTAAAAAGACGAGTCAAGTACCGAGACAGGACTCGGTTGCAACTCAGTCGCTGTGATTTCTGCTATGCTGTGAAGAAGCTTATCGCACCTCTCCAACAGACTACGACCCTCCTTGTACTCCTCGATCTTGTTGGACCTCTGATGAAGAAATAAATTATAAATAATTGCTTTTGATTTTAAAATTGGATTAAGAAATTCTGTGAAGTGACTGATCGTCCACTATGGTGGTCGGTGATTACGTACCTCCGTGTCCGTTTGTGATGAGTTGCTAATGCTGCTTTCTGAGAATGTGGACGATTCGTCCTCTGCTTGAGATACGTAAATCTTCCGTTCTTTTGGATGATGAACAGAAGCCGTTGGTTTCCTGTTTCTTGGCGATCGGTTTGTGATTTGGGGATCTGATCCGACTTTTGATGAATTTGTCTTCGATGGTTGAACCGGAGAAGCCCTTCTCTGATCTACAGGATCGCTAACTCTTCTCTGCGTTTCTACGAACAGTCCTCTTCTACTCGGACTTTTCACGTTACTGTCGCATCTAGTTGTTGGAGAGCTCGAGAATCTACCTCTGTTTTGGTTTCGTATATTTCGATCAAACTCCAAACGATCGCGCCTCGAGGTCACAGCCGGCATTGTTTCGCCCGTAACATTACCATTCCGGCGATTCACTTGTCTTGATCTGTAACTCGAAGGTGGCGAATCGTTACCGATTCTTCCTAAACGATTGACCGCAGTTGGTGATCTAGCAGGCTTCATCACCACAATCGGAGATTCGTTTTGTGAAGAAGTGCGATCATAGACAAAGTTCCTCTGGCTTGGAGGCTTCTTGGAATGAAGAAGTCCCTTGAGTTGAAGTGCTTCGAGGATTTGTTTCAAGGTTTCCAAATCTTTTGAAGGTTCATCAATTCCTCTCATCCTCAACCTCTTCTCTATCTCTCCGTAGATTGATGCAGGCTGCTTCGTCTCAGGAAAAATGTCTGCGGAATCGAAGAAAATCTTACGCGGTCCCAATCCTCTGTGAGACCTAACAGGCTCAGTCTTAGTACTTCTAGCTGCAAAGTCGTTTCTGTCTAGCACTTTGGAATTTGAGCTGTGGTCCATGTTTGCAGCATTCATCATCAGTACACTGCTTCCATTATTATCCTGCGAGCTCGGATGTTGAGATTGTTTAAGTCTGAAATTGTTGCCGTCGACGAAGCGATTCTGGTAGAAATCTTTACAAACTCTTGACTCGGAAGCCGATCTTCGAAGCTCGGCTTTCCTGATCGGTTCTGGTTCCGAGTTAGGCAATGGTTCGAGCCCCATTAATCTAGCAATAACACTCGGAGACCGACGCTGTTCATCACCTTCTTCGGTTGAGGTTTCACTGCGATTTGTAGACAGAATAGAGGCGTTGGTTCGGATCTCCCTCGGATAAATGCTGCCTTTCCCGTCAACAATGGCTCTGCTATCCAACGAAAGCCGTGGAGCTTCTCGCGAAAACTTCCATAAAGACCGATTCCCTTCCTTGTATTCAAAAATCGGAAGCGGACGGGGCTGTTTGGGCTTGCTTTCCACAGGAGTGGCTGGCTCAGTCCCCGGAGATCGAAGCTCCGTCGTGGGAGCAAAATGCATCACTCGGTCCGGAGAAGACGCCGTTCTAGTTTGCTGTGGTTTTTCCAATTCCGCCGATACCTCCAGCGAGGAAACCACATTCTCCGGCGGTGGCGTTGAGTTCCCAACCTGCAGTTTGAGAGAATCCTAATTAAATCGACACAGTATTGGAAGCCATATACAGAAACCAAAATAGAAAAGGTAACCAGAAAATTACCGAGGGAGGGAGGCGTTTAGTCGAGTAGAGGCGTTTTCCGGCCAAAATCTGATGACGATCGAAGATATGAAGGAATCCAGCCATGCAACCCATTTGTTTCTCAATCTGCTTCTCCAGATTCTGATCTTGCAACATCCCCGTCGTCATTTCTTGACAAAAGAATAAAAAAAAACAACAAAGAAAAGGAGGTCGGATGTCTGTATGTTTATCCTATTTCTTCACTGAAACGGCCATTCCCATTTCTTGTTCCTCTGTGACTGTCGCTTTATCTACGTCTCTCCCGCTTCTCTGGTCTGCCAAAGAGGGAGTGCGAGAGAGATTTATTAACGCTTTAAAACGGAAGGGCAGTAACAACTGAAATGACCAGATTACCCTTAATTTCCTTGGAAATCCCAAACGTGCCCCCGGAAAGTAGTCCACAAAGCCTGGCCGGGATTATAAACCAGTTGGAAGGATAACTGGAGGAGCCGGTAAACCTCCGTGGGTGATGCGCTCTACGTGTCAGAAATTCCACTTCCTAGAATTTCGCGTTTTCCAACCACGACCGGGTTTGACCGCTTATATTTTCCGTCATCCGTCATTTATTTAATTAAATTAAAAATATGATCCCCACTGCCGCTACCGACCAGTTACAGTCCCGCTCAACTAAATATTCCCAATATGCACACATTAATTTACCATTTTTAATTAATAATGAAATTTATTATAAACCTCCACCTCAAATTACTAATATTTAAGACTTACCTCATTTTAATTATTAATGTATTATTTGGATGGGTTTTAAAGTTTTCTCCCTAATAATTTTTTTTTTTTACATATATTTTTAAAAAGTCTTTAAATTTTCAATTTTATGTCTAATAAATTTTTTAATTAATATTTGTCGACACAAAAAAATTATGTCAATCAATAATAAAACTTTAAATTTTGTATTTTGTATTTAAAATTTATTTTATAAAAAATGGGAAAAATTATATTTACGGTATTTAAGTTATATATATAATATTTGAATATTTGAACGGGAATCATATATAAATTATTATTATTTTGTAGAATGCATGAAATGATATTTGACGTCACATGAAATTATTAATATGATTTGGGATTTAAATTATCTTTTAAAATGTAAAAGAAAGAAAAAACGTTTTTGTAATTCACGCGAACGGTTTTCTCGCCATTTCAATTTAGAAAACGCTTTATCAAAATTAGAAGGGGGAAAACAAAAGAACACGTGTCAATATCTTAAGAGTTTGGATTTTGTCGGATTAATTGGGGAATTGAACGGCGGTGATATGCGGGCGTATGTTAAATAGTGGTGCTCATCAGTACACAAACTTTCTCTTCTTAACTTAGTTCCCATATAATTAGTTCGATCTCAAAGGCCGTGAACCGCTTGATGCGCTGCACTTCCGTTCCAGGATGTTCTCTCTCCCCGCCACGTGGCAATTGACTCGTCCTCTGCCTCTCTCAAAACCGTCCAATACCAACGCATAGTCCACCGATTCATCTCTTTTTATTTTTCTTTTTTCTTTTTAACCCTAAATTTTTAATTTATTATATTACTCCATTCGGTAATAATTACGAGGATATAAGCTACCAACTAAATCTTAGAAATCAGATAAAATATATTATTAAAAAATATTGAATAAATCCTAAAAGTAATATAAAATATAACCAATTTTTAAAAATAAGAAATTTTTTTAATTAATCACTGCTCTATAAAATATATTTTATAATTAAGTTTATATGTCAAATCTATTTTTTCAGAAAAATAAAAATAAAAACTGTTTAAATTTAAGTGGACAAATTAAGATATTATTTTAATTTATTTATAAATTTTTATGCTTAGGTGGAAATTAATTAAACGGCTATAATGTGACGGAATAACCATCAATTTAAGAATTAATTATTAGATTTGTTCATTATGTTTTAAAATATGTTTTTTTAGGATGGTACCATCAATTTACTTTTTTAAAATATATTCATTACTATTTTTGTTTGTATTTAAACAAAGTGGAAAAGTTTTAATTTTTAATTTTATGTTCTTAAATTTTCAATTTAGTGTATAGTCGATATATGTTTTATATTCATAGAGGTCTTGAAAGTGTGCGTAATAACTTACTGATGGAGCATTCTTTCGCGCCAAACTGTCAAAGCTATGAGATGTAAAAATGCGTTGATCTGACAATGTTCTGCCCTAAAAGAAAACATTGCACAAACAGTAGTGGTGGAAGTGGAAGCAAAAATATCATGAAGGGTAGAATAATTACACGTTTTCTTTAATAATTTATGAAAATGATAATATTTGAAATGAATAATTATTTCAAATTATAAATTTCTTTTTGCTAAATTTCAACAATACCAACTGTGAGCAAAAATTATCATTTTTTCTCAAAATTTTTAAAACACGTCTACTGAGAAGAGATTTACAACCGATGTGAGATCTCACAATTTAAAATTTTGACTATTTTTCGATTTGTGCGTGTCATCTTTATGCAATGGTCATGTTAATCGTCTCAGTGTCGTTTTAATTTAATAAAATGTCTCGGAGGCTATTAAATTAAAAATTCTTAAAAATTAAGGACTAAATTTATAATTTAAGTTAAATGGAGGGGTAGTATAGTGTAAATAAATATAATTTATAATTTTGAAGATAAAAACAAAAAGTTTAAAGATAAAGCAAAGTATATATATATATATATATATTAGAGAGAGAGAGAGAGAGAGAGAGAGAGAGAGAGAGAGAGAGAGATGCAGATCCCTTTTTTATAATAATTGTTAATTTATATGTTTTGTTGTTTTTCATTTTAACCCCCACATGCATTTCAGATCTGCAAACCCCACTTTATTTAACCCTTTTTTTTCTTTATTTTAATTCCTAATATTATCTGTCTTACATTTTAACTTTATAATTTAAACAAATTCAAATAATAATGGGCCCACAAGTGTTGCTGGATATGCCACGTCAGCTTGAAACCACTCCCATCCATCCCATGTTCTCTTGACTGACCCCTCCCCCCCTCGTCTGCTGCACACACATTCCTTCATAATCTCCTCTGCCCCATTGCCCACTCACTCATTTTCCACATTCTTTTTCTTTTTTCTTTTTTTCCTTTTCTTTTATATATATAATTATTATATTTCCCTCCCCATATGCTTCACCAATTATTTAATTCATGAAATTAGGGGATTGGGTGAATTAGATTTTTTGGAATTCTAAATCAATCATGAAAGGGCAGTGTATATTATAATTATTTTATTAATTAAAAAAAATATATATGATTCTGATTCCTTTTTATAGGGCTTAGTAAGTAAGTAGTAGGTTTGGCCATTTTCCCCATCCTACCCCTATGTTTATGTATATATTTTGTAAATGATTAACAAAAAACAAATCCTATTTAGCCCCTAATTATTCCTTAAAAATGGTAATTATTATTCCTTGGAAAATAAAGAAAAATAAAAGTATAGGAATTTAGATTGAAATAGGAGGGGTGTAGTGTAGGGTGATGTCAGGGAAGGGAAGGAAGTATTTAAGGAATAAAATCTGAAAAAAAATAAAATAAAGTCAAAATATCAGTAATTTTGAAACCCCCCACATCAAATCTTATCTTTTATTATTTATTTATTTATTTTTAGAATTAAAATTAAAAAAGAAAAAAAATAGAAAAATAGAAAAAGATTTCATGTGCCTCCAAGCTGCTGCTTGCCTTGCATCATCATGCCTGTGTTTTGCTGCTGTCCATTACGCCTTTCTCCATCACTTCTCCCTTCTTTCAATGCATTCTTTTTTTTTTTTTTTTTTTTTTTTTTTTTTTTACTTTTACTTTTTTTTTTTAAAAGTGGCTATTTTTTCTTTTATTAATTTATCATTTTTGTTCTTCCGTCTCAATTCAAACGTTATGATGGTTGGTGGGTTGCTCGATTTAGAAGCTGTGGACATTGGTTTTAGGGTTTGTAAACTTGACATCTACAACATATCAACAAATAACTCTATCAACTAAACCCTATAGAGATTAAACCCACGTCTCGAGCTAAAGTGGCAACAAACAAGCTCATTGTAACAGTTCAAGTCTACTGCTAGCATATATTGTCCGCTTTTAGCCTGTTACATATCGCTCTCAGCCTCACGGTTTTAAAACACGTCTACTAGGGAGAAGGTATAGCTCTACTTTGACCAATGCCTTGCACCGTTAACCCATAAGGAAAATTCTAAAGAGGACAATATTTGCTAGCGGTGAGCTTAGACTGTTACACTCATTTTGCATGATTTTAGGCATCATATATGCAAAGACGTAAAACCTATGAGACAAGCAAACACCTGTAGAGAGTGTGTGACATGCTAGATTTACGAGTTTAGGTGAGATCCATAAAAGGCTTGAGTGTCCTGTGAAAGATCTAAACCCTTGAAGAACTTGAGCCATTCCTTTGTTGTGGGTCCTGATGTGTCATGTTTGTGTGTGACAATATACATAAATTTATCGACACAAGTGTAACTTAACGATAATTAACCTAAAGTAAAAATTTAGAAATTTAATAACTTATTTATTTAATGGCAAATCATAAATACCATGTATAGAATAAGGATTAAAAAGCATGGACTCCACACATGTGTTAAGTCGTTATCTTTCTTTTACTATCATATTAAGCAACACTATATTATTTTCTATGAATAACTCTCCTTTAATGTGTTAAGTTTTATTGATCCAATCATAGAGTTCTTCAATTCATGTAAATAATAAATGTTTTAAGTAAATAATTTATAATTTTTTTTTTAAAAAAATGGGGGGCAAATATGGGAATAAAGAAAGTGTAGTTGGGAGTTGGGAATTGGTAAATAGAAATAGAGAAGGGTGCAATCTCCAAAAACATTGATGAACTGAAGCTGACTCCCAACTTAAATTATTGAATTGCATATACACAGAGAGAGATGCTTAACGGTCACTTTTTCTGCCCTCTTCAGGTACCATTTTTTGATACCCTTTTCTTTTTCATTATTCTTTTTTATATATATATATATATTCGTCCAAGTACGATATTGTCGCACTATTTTAGATTACTAACTTTTCTTTAACATTCTAATAGATTTTTACTCTAAGGTTTCTAAGGTTTCTATGGATAAAAGAATCTGAAAGTTTTGAAAGACTAATGGAAAAGTGGAGACATGATAGAGAAGGGAAATGTTGGTGTTGAAACTTGAAATGGAGGGGGGAAGACGAGATTTTGTAGTTCCAAAAATGGTGAAGAGATTTGACTGAGTGTCTCTGAATCCCATCTCTGTAAAAATGGAATTTAGGGACTCACCTCCTCCTCGACTGAAGAGAACCAAAGCCACAAGCCATGGCCTCGTGTCCACAATTCCATCCATTTAACCCAACACTCTCACACACACACACATATATATATTCAATTTACTCTATTAATATATATATATTCCTCCTCTATTCGAAATATACCTTTCTAAGCGTATTTCGATTGACAGCTTAAATGGTATCTTATGAATCTCTATCGGTCTTATTTTTATTGTGCATCTTGTGAGCACATTTGGATCGCTTAAATGGTATCTTATGAATCTCTATCAATCTTATTTTTATTGTGCATCTTGTAAGCACATTTGGATCTGCAAAGGTAATCACTCAGATGTTCTCCTAACCCAACTCGAAAACTAATTGGAAGGAATCGCAACATGGAGAACGTCCATATTTGGTCGCAAAGTTCAATTTGAGTTGTGGGTTATAGGAGAGTTTATCTAATCAAAGGGTGAAGCATAAGGGTCCTGGTACTAACCAAGTGTGAAAACCATGGGGTGACTGCAATGAGCAAAAATCTTATTCAATGACTTAAATGACAAACAGACACCGGAACCTGAGAAAGAAATGGATCATCCAGGAATGAACTAACTAACTAAAATTTATTAATTAAAAGAAAAGATAATAGCCAAATGAAGTTTTTTAGTTTTTCAATTTTGTGTCTAAATGAAAAGTATAAATGTAAAAAAAAGAAATGTTAAATTCTAAATAAAGGGACTGACTTAAGAATATCTTACAACCTTGGGGAATAAACTTAAAAACAATATAAAAAAAACATACCAACGGAATGGTTAGAAAGAATATAAAAAATGATATAGCAAAATACATTAAATACTCTGATTCATACCTACACGTAATAAAAAAAAGATAATAATTTTAATTAAATTGTCAGGTTTGGCGTGTAATTTATCCCACTTATTTTAATACCCTAAAAGGTAAAAGAAGGTTTCATTCGGCTGGTAGCCGATAGGGCAGCCCAATTATACAATTACCTACATTTCAATAATTCTCCTCTCCCCTTCTATTCTCTTATTTTCTTTTTTCTATTAAATATTCAATTCATTTATACCTCTGTAACTGTATCCATACTAAAAAAGAAAAGAAGACACATCTAGTTATGGGACAAATCATAGTTGTTATCAGGACGAAGGCCCAAATGAAGCAAGCCGACCCCACTTATAATGGGACTGGGCTGGGATTGTCCTTAGCCCATTGGGCGGATTAGCAAGAGGAGAACTTTACAGATATCAGCGAGCTGCAGGGTTTGGCGTTTCCAACAAGCCAGTCTACAAGTTCTGTCCCAAGCAGAGTGGAAAATTAATACCCTAATAGTACTGATCAATTATCACCAAACTAAACTATCCTTTGTTATGGTGTTCATATATCTCAGACATCTTCCAAGTTTAAAGAGAACACATGTGTGAGTTGTCTAGAGAATCCTGCAGCTACACTCTGGTGTGCTTGGGGATCCTTCAAACCAGCGATCCCATAGGGGATTTACAACACCATTCAGGCTGTACACAAATTAAGCTGATAAAAAAGTGGATCCAGAATCCAGATGGGATGAGGATGGAGAGTGTTGTGTAGAACTTACACTGGCAAAAGTGGGTCTGATTTGGTTTCGACACCGGGAAGCAAGCTGAGAGCATGAAGAAAGATCATTTTTAAACTTGGATTCAACTTCTTTTGGAACGTCGAGATGAAAATTTACCTTCTCAACTCTAAGGGAAAAAGAATAAGAAGGATTACTCCACTTACTCCTCGCATATAGATGAGATGTTTCCCATTTTCTCAACTTCATCCAACTCTTCCTGAACGGGGTTACAGAAAGAAGAAATCATTTATAATTCAGTAATCATCTCAATACTGAAAGGGAAAATATCAAAGCAAAGGAGAGGAATCATGACTTGTTCCCAGCATCTTGTTTAGTGATGATACAAAGGTCTAATATATGGCACGAAGGGACACATAAAAACAGTGAAAAGACTGTTAATTCTAGAGCTTCTCCAAATATAATAAGTGGCAACCTTAGCTCCAAGAACTGTAGGTATGCAAAAAAGTATACAGCTCCCTCACATAGGCAGCTTTATTCACAATATGTGAGATCTCATGTCGGTTAAAGATGGGAACAAAATATACCTTATAAGGGTGTGGAAATCTCCCCAGTGGATGCGTTTTAAAACTTTGAGGAGAAGCCTAAAGAAGACAATATCTGCTAGCGGTGGGCTTGGGCTGTTCTAAATGACA